AGGCTGCAGGTCAGGGTATGAAGAGCAGGACAGCCAGGCATCAGATATGGAAAGATCTGGAGCTTCTGGAATCCACCAGATGTGATGTTACGTCTGGGAGGCAGTCAAATGACTGAACCTTCTCAAGGGTCCATCTTCTCATCTGTAAAAGGGGGTAATGACGGCACCTTCCTTGGAAGCTCTCATGACTCTTAACTGAAATGATGGACATAAAATGCTCCCCGTATGGAAAGTTCCAGCAAAAGCACGAAATAAAGGCAGAGGGAATAGAAGTGGGGGTGGGGGGGAAGTGGCGAGGGGGACTGCCATGAGTCCCTGCTTCCTACGACCTAGGACCTGGGCAGCTCCGAGGAGCACAGGCTTTCCAGCCGGGTCCAGCTGGGAGACCGTGGAGGTCAGTACAAGATAAAGATGGTGGTACAGAGACCAGGGCATGGTGGGGAGAGGTTTGCAAGAATCCCAAGGTCCCCCCGGTTCCCACACATTCCAGAGATGCCCGTGACCGAGTGGTCCTATCTGTGCGCCCGGAGAGGAGCTGCCCAGAGACAGGCCTTGGCGCGTTTCAGCGCTGAGAGAGGATTTGCCCCTGGAAGCGGGCTCCGCAGCTTCCGGCCCACGGGGTGGTGGGTGGAGGTCTTCACCCTGGGCTGGCGAGACTCTGGCTCCAGGGGATGTGGGGTTCCCTGGGCTGGGAACCAAGCCTGGGCTGGCTTCGGAAATCAACTCCCAGGAGCGATGGAGGGACTCCAGAGAAAGAAGGCGTTATGTTGCTGGGGGGCAGGAGGGCGGGGAGAGGTTGGAGTTGAGATGAGTTTCTCCGTGGGGCCGCGGAGCCTGGAGCCTGGAGTGGAAGGATGACAATGGGGGTATTTACTGGGAATATGAAGGGTAAGGCAGTCAGGGGCCACCGAGATGTTACAGAAAACAAGAAGGAAGCCCAAGACTGAGGCCTCTTGTCTGCCTCTGAAGGCAGCTCTTCCTTCAAGGGTCTCAGACTCTTGGTGGTCAGGGATCCCCGGCCATGCCACGTCCCATGTCTCATGCACGCACAGGGCCTACCTTTCCTCTGTCCCCGGTAGGACCGGCCCGTGGCTGCTCACCTTACAGCCTCACCTGCGTGGACGCAGACACGGGCATCGATCTGATTATAAGTAAGTGACCCATCCCCATGTGACACAGCAGAACTTACCAGTAGGTACAGAGTGAAAAGTGAGTCCCCTCCCACCCGGTTCTTCTTCCCAAAGCCTCGCTGAGCCCAGTGTCTTATGTAACCCCCTAGAAAAAGCCTCTGCCTAGACAAGCAAATATATTTTTATGCTTCAGGAAAAAAGAACACACGTGGTGGCAGATGACACGTCCATTCCACACCTTTGCTTGTTTTCAGTAACGGTAGTTCTCAAAAAACCACCCCAGAGCCCGATGCTGCTGAGAATTCTTGAGTTTGGAAGTTCCAGCATCGCTTTAACCACTACCGGCTTGCCGGACACGAGGGTCATTTTTTTGAGCGTTCTCTGATACAAAGCGTAACAGTGCTCTGAGGGGCTGTCCCTTCCCCCACGCACGGGTGTGTCTGCGAAGGAGAAGTCTCCGGAAAGAGCTGGTGGATGGGGAGGGGGAATGCTTGGTGGGTTTGATGGCCTCACCAAGACCGCTCTCTGCAGAGCTGCGGTCCGATAGAGCCTTGAGCGCACACCTGGGTCCCCACGGGCTGCCCAGCACCGGGCACTATCTTGCTTTCAGATCGTGGCCCAAGTGATAGGGAAAAACATTATCTTACTGAGTCTCGTTTGCCTTTCTCTTATCATGAGGTTCAGCATCTTTGTCTGTGTTTCAGAGTTATTTGTAATTCTTTCCTGTGAACGGTTCATATCCTTTGCCCATTTTTCTGTTGGTTTGTTCATCTTTCTTTCGCTGATTTATGGGAATATTTTTTATATCGGGAAAATGAGCTCTTTGTCCGTGATAGAAGTTGCAGACGTTTTCCCCGAGTTTGTCATTTGTTGCTTCCTTGTTTATGGGTATTTTTTTTCCATGTAGAATTTTTATAGAGCTGAAGGTATCAATCTGTTTTATGACTTCTTGGAGTTTGTGTAGTACTTGGAAAGTACTTGGCAAATACTTCACCTCCTCGAGATTATATATTTTTAAACCTCTGTGACTTTCTTCTACTTTTAGAATTTCATTTTTCATGCTTCAAACATTGATCCAGCTAGCATTTATTTTGAGGAAAAGTGTGAGGAAGAGATTCGACTTTTTCTTCCCCCCGCAAATGGCTCCCTAGCTGTTTCAAAGCCGTTTGGTGAATAATTGATCTTTTCCCCACCGACTTGAAATTCTGCTTTCACCATATATTAAATAATCCCATGTGTATTGGGGTCTATTTCTAGATTCCAAGTCTGTCATTTCATTAGACTACATGTACAAGAACACACCGTTTTAATTATTACAGCTTTATAATATAGTTATCTGGGCTAATCTTCTCTACCTACCATAGTTTCTCAGATTTTCCTGGTTATTCTTTTGTTATGTTTTTAAACGTGAACTTTAGAGTCACGTTGTCTAATTTTAAAAAATCTGTCTTTCGTGTGTGTGTGTGTGTGTGTGTGTGTGTGTGTGTTTTCAAAGTGAGAAAATGTTTAAGGGAACGATACCCATGTAATATTGATTCTTCTATCCACAGTTCTCTTCCATTCTGTTAGCTCCTTCCCATTGAGAAGGTGGCTAATAGGGTTGTTGTGTACAGTTGTGCAAGTTGTATACTGCACAAAGGAGCAGCTGGTGCCTGCCCACGGGGCACAAGTTCTTCTCTCCCGTAGTCTGCCCATCTGGACATACGATCAATAGTAACAGTAGCCACGCCTCCCTATGGCATGTTCCAGGTGCTGTTCTAACCTCTTTATGTTTTTAAATTTATTTAATCTACCCCACAAACGTATCCTCCAATTTACAACTAGGAAATTGATGTGCAAAAAGATTATAAGTTGCCCAAGGCCAATGATTCATGTCACCCGCCGTGCATTCATGGCACAGAAATCCACCCCTGCATGTAAACAGAACACACTTGAACACACAGACACATAGATACACACATATGGAAACACACCTACACACATATGCAGATACACATAGACACTTGAGGACATGTACACAACACACACATGAGTGCGCACACGCAAGCGTGCACGCACGGACACACACACACCCATGGCTGTCCCGCGCCCCAGTATCCTTTCCCTGTCAATGTCTTGACCTCTAGAGCACCCACAGTGCTAGTCGCCCTGCCATCCCCTGCTTTTGGAACACAGCAGACCCATCCAGGAAAACCGGTTGGCAGAACTCCTGCCATTGCTCCGGGCTGGGGAGGGCCCCCCTCCCAAATCCCCGTATGAGATGGTGTGGGGGTGGGGCACTGCACAGCAGGCCCTGGGGGAGGGGAGCCCAGGCGCCTGCCAGGCCTCCTTGTGAGGATGAGTTGAGTTGAGGGATGCAGGGATGCTCGGGGCTGGGTGGTACCCAGCAGGCTCTCTCCGGAAAGGGCATCCCCGCCCTCCTCTTCCCAGCATCATTCTCTCAGCAAACCCTGGAATCAGCCCATCCCTGTGCCCATCGCTGGCCTTGAGGCTGGTGCCCAGGGAGCCTGGGGAACAAGCTGGCACATGTGGCCCTAGGAGCAGATTGCCTGGTGGGCCGCTCTACTGAGGCGAGGGGCTCTGGGTGCAGAACGCGTGTGCACGTGTGTGTGTGTGTGTGTGTGTGTGTGTGTGTGTGTGTGTGTGCAAGCTCCCAGTCCGCCTGCCCGCCCAACTGATGTTCCGGCTCTGAGTCAGCCCCGCATCCCAGGGACTGAATCACTGGGGGCTGGGAGTGTTATTGTTTTAAAACAAACGGGTGATGACAGGAACTAACAGAGGGTTTTTTAAAACTCGATTCAAAGGGCTCTTGAACGCTGCTGGGGAATAGGAATGTGCCTTTGAAGTGTGAATGTGCCCATTTGTCAACCAGGGAGCAGGGGCAGCTCCCAGCTCCCGCAGATGGGGGCCTGCTGGCCTCTGCCCGCTGCTGCTGCTGCTGCGGCCAAAGGTGGGCGAGTGACGGGGTGAGGGTGGGGGCTGGCCCCCGCCCTCCCCCGCCCCCACGCTCCCCAGAGAGGCCTTCTGAAGGATTTTGTAAGGTGGTGGTGAGCTCCAGGAGGGTTGTCAGGAGCTGGGATGGTGTGGGTTCAAGGAAGACCCTCCCCAGGAGTCACAAGTTATCCACTCGTGAGATGGAGACCAGGGGTGTGGGGTAGGGGTGCAACGCAGTCAGGCCAGTCGACTGGCCCCGACGCACATCACTGGTGCTGAGTCGTCAGACTGCTTGGGGCTGGGGTGAGGCCTTGACACAGCTGGGAACCCCACCTACAGACCACAGGCACCCACTTCTGGCCAAATCTGGGTACAGGAGGACAGAAGGATCAAGCAGCCTGGCAGTGGAGGGGGCCATTGGATGGACTCTGCCCTTGATGCCTTTGAGGGGCTCCCCCAGCCTCAGGGGTAGGACCCAGCACACCTCTGTCACCTGTCACTTGGGTCAACCCACCTCCCTGTTTTCCTTGTGACATTTATATTCCCTTTGACCACAGTGCCCCAAGGGCATCCATCCCTTCCTTCTCTCCTGGAGGGAGAAATCCAGGAGCACAGAGTATCCAGTGGGCGGGGATCCAGAGGGGAGAGAGACAGAAAGGACTGGAAAGAGGGACGGGGTGGCAGCAGGAGAGAGTCTGGCATGGTCTGGGAGGAGGGAGGCTAGGAACTGGTTGGTAGGCATGGAGGACTCACTCTGAAGATCAAGCTATGAAGTCAGACCCAAGCTCAAGTCGTCCCCGGCCACATGACCTTGAGCCTGTGACCTGGCTCAAGGAGCACCTGCTTTCTTGGCCCCCGGGGTGTTGGGGCACAACATGAACAACTAGGGGAAGGTGAGCAAGAGATGACTGGTGGCTTTGGGTCTCTTTCCCACAGATGACGTGGCCCCCTATTTCAAGACAGAGCCCGTGCGGACGCAGGTGCACCTGGAGGGGAACCGCCTGGTGCTCACGTGCATGGCTGAGGGCAGCTGGCCCCTGGAGTTCAAGTGGCTCCACGACAACCGCGAGCTGACCAAGTTCTCCCTGGAGTACAGGCAAGCCTCCCCTCCCCTTCCCTCCCCTCCCCTCCCCTCCTTTCTTCCCTCCTGGCTGCCAGGGAAACCAGGATGGCGGCCCGTCTGGCACGTTGGGGGTGAGAGTTCCCACGCCAGTGCTACTGGGAGCCTGGGGTGGCGGAAGTTGGGGGACACAGATAGCTCTGCCCCAGGAGTAAGAGGCCCTGCTCTGCTGAGCCCAACAGAGGATGTCTAGGGAGTAGGCCAGGGGTGCTACCCAGACGGGGTGGCTCATGCAACAGGGAACAGAGCAGAGACAATGGTTGGGGTAGGGGAGCCCACCAGCAGCTGCTGAGCTGTGGTTGTGCCTGACCAGAGCCCCCCCATCCCCAACCACTGAGAACTCTGCTATCTCCCAGGGGCACTGAAAGGGCCTCGGTCCTGACACATGGCCGGGGGGAGGGGCATGTGGCAGCGTGGGTTCAGTGAGGGAATACCTTTATTTGGGGACAGTGGGGTTGTGACATGGAGGTGGCCTGCCCTGGGCCTTGGGGCTTGTCCCCACTCCATGTTCGTGCCCATGCCCAGAGCTCTGGACTGGCTCGTCCCTCCCCAGGACACTGCCAAGTTAGGGAGAAAGGAGAGGCGGGACGGGCACAGGGTCGCAGTGAAGCGGGTTTCTGCCGGCAAGCCTGAGCCGCCCCACAAGCCCAGCCTGGCCTCCAGCACTTTCCTCCTGGCAGTCCCTCCCTCCTGCTCCTATCTTCCCATCTCATCTCTGCCTGTTTTTACTGGCTCCCAACCCTGTGGCTGGTGATTAATCCCCAGGCCTGATGTGCATAATCGGTTTTGTTGGGGAAACAAGATTGTCTTGCCCTGGGGATGTTGATACAGATCTCTCACAGGGACCGGAATGCAAATGAGAGGAGGGTATTTAATTGCTTCAGGGTCTGTCTTTTCCTGAGAACCGTCCTTTTCTTTGCCAAACACGGAGGCCAGAGTTTGGGATATGCCACCTTGTCAGCCCCAGGTTTCTTCTGCCCCAACCCTGGACTGGATTGGCTTGGGGGCGGGGGCGGCCACTTTGTCAGAGGAGGGAGCAGGAGGACCCAGGACAGGAGAACCACCTTCCTTTCTGTAGGGTGAGAGCCCAGGGCGGTGGGTCTCCAGGAAGCTCAGGAGGGAGACTGGGCGGTGCTCCCATGAGCAGCCCCTGGGGGCCCAGAGCTCTCCGGGCTGCTGCCTGGCATCCCTGGGGCAGTTAGGGCAGTCTTTGTGAAGAGCCCCTGCCTCCTTCGGACAGGGGACATGCCTGCGTGGGAGCACCAGGAGCATGTGGAGGGCACACTGCAGGGGTAAGCCTGCCCCTGGCTTCTGCTGGCCGGGAGCTGGGCCAGGATCCAGGAGGAGGAGGAGGCTCAGTTCTCATCATTCTGTCCGGCCGACAATCCTAGGAGTCAGTTCAGTTTTTTCTCCCATTTGATGGGCAGACTGGGGCTCAGAGACATGAAACACTTCACCCAAGTTCAGATTGTTGAGCTGGGTTCAAATATAAGTCATCTGGCTCCAGGGCTGGAGGTCCTTTACGTCCCAGCGTCCCATTGAGGAAGGACCGCTTCCTTAATATGCATCCCACGCAGCCGCTGCTCACTGTGCTCTGCTGTTTCTAGAAAACAGCAGGGGCGGGGAATGCAAGCACCGTTGACCCTTGAACAACATGGGTTGAGCTGCACGGGCCCGCTCACACGCGGATGTTTTCGGTTCAGTACAGCACAGCACGGTAAATGTGTTTTCGCTTCCTTATGGTTTTCTTAATAACATTTTCTTTACTCTAACCTACTTTCCTGGAAGAATGCGGTACGTAATGCACATAACGTACGAAATCCTTGAGGATTGCCTGGGTCTGGTCCTGGTCAGGCTTCCCGTCAACAGTGAGCTGTTAGTAGTTGCATTTGGGGAGTCCAAAGTCCTACATAGATTTTCGACAGTGCAGGGGTCGGCGCCTGGCTCTCAGGGTAATTCAGAGTCATCTGGACTTTGTTTCCGACCTTGGTTGGGTGGCATTTTCAGGGGGACACAAATAAGCTTCCACTGAGGAAGCCCTTTTCCTTGAGTGGCCTTCAGAGGTCGTCAGGGTTGCTCTTGGAGGCACGCACCTTACCCACTGTTACTCCCACCTGATGTAACATGCCCACGAAACAGGACCTTCCCATCCTGGGACCCGTGGCAGCCTCCTGCTCGTGCCCTCTGTGCTGCCTCTGTTCAAACCGTCCTGTCCCCTCTACTTGGAGTATTGCACCTTCTAGAACCTTCTTTCTCTCTCCTGCAGGGCCCCTTCAGAAAGCCTTACCCGATAGTTCACACGTGTGTTCTCAATCAATATCTCTCTGCCTCGGTCTCACAACACACGCACACTCAGGTCTGCCTCTCTCTACCCTTTGTGATCGTCCACAATACACCCCATTACGCCTCCTGCCTTCTCTTCATTTATACGCTATGCTGCGAGTTAGCCACAGACCTGAGGTCAGGGCTTCGGGAACCTTGGCATTTCCGGGGTCCTCGGGGCTCGGAACAGAGAACTTGATCCTGCCCCACGCGCTCTCTCCTCCAGGCCTCTCAGCAGCGCCACCTCTGGGTGCAGACTTCATTCTCATGTGGTGCGTGACACTGAGAAGTTCATGGTCACAGGCTCATACCCCCATAATTTTAGGGCAGAAGGAGCATCCCTGGAAGTTCCACGTGGTGAGTCCCAGGGAAGGAATCTGCTTGGTCCAGCTTGGGTCGTCCCACTTATTTTTGTAAAGTTGTTTAAGAATTTGGAGACATCACGTCCCTTCACCCCTAAGGAGAATTTCCCAAGAATAAAGTGTTCTCCTATAGACCCACAGGACAACGTTCCCACTGGGGAAATGTCACATGGATAGGGTGCCACTATCTCACATGCGGCCCAAACTCACATTTCTCTGTCCGGGTGATGTCCTTGTGGCCATTTTTACTATTGTTTGATACCAGATCTAATCAAGGACCACACACTAAATCTAGTTGTCAGGACTCTTAGATTCTGTCAATCTAGAATCATCCCTCATTGTTCCTCCTGTCTTTCATGGCATCAACATCTCTGAGAGCCCAGCCCATTTTGCAGAAATGTCCCCCAGTATAGACTTGTCCAGTTCTAGGCTCCGGATTAAACTCATGTTAATCCTTTGGGGCAAGAATATTACCTAGGTGTGTGCCCGTCTCCAGGCTTCATACGCTAAGGCCCTCAGCATCTACTTGCCCCATTATTGGTGATGTTGGGTTTCCTCAGTTGGTCAAGGTAAGGTGTACCAGATTTCTCCATTGTCAAGGTATGGAAATATCCTCTCTGACTGGAAACCGTGGATACTCTCCTTCCCAGGAATCCCTCACCCCGTGGTTGAGCACCGATCAATGAGTCTACCCTGAATCCGTCATTAACATTGTGGTGGTGATAAGCAGATTTTCTAGTAATATCATTTTTTTCCCTTATATTTTATGTCATCCTTTTGTAAAAGAGATCTTCCCTTTCTCATCTCCTTCCAAGTAAGATAGCACCAGTGTGAACTGATGGATAATTTTCCCTGTTCAGTGCGTCTTCATCTATCCCTATCATTCTTCATGTTGATGCTCAGTCATAATCCGTAATTGGCCAGCGGAGCTTCTTTGAGCTACATCCTGGGTCTTTTGGCCACGTCCCCACTGGATTTCTAGCACTCTCTTGCTTTTTGGCTCAATAAAATGTTCCAGATTCGCCTTTGAAATACATGCACACCAAAAATTGCATCCCAGAGGAGGGTGGCTGGCTTCTCATCCCGTGGTTCTCTGGGCACTGCTTGCTACTTCCTGTCTCTTGCAAACCCCAGGCTTTGAGTTGGGTGATCACGTCCAATTCTCAGGCAGAACGATGGCTGAATTTACTCAGCAAGTCAAGAGAAAATAAGACTCCAAGTGCCGCCGTAAATCTCACTGGTTCCTACCGTCTCCAAAGGAAGAAGTTTGCATTCACATCCAGTCTCCACCGGCCTTTATTTTCGGTGGGATCTGGAACCCAAGGGGCGTGGCATGCACGTGTGTTTTGTGTGTATGCACACGTGCGTGTGACATTTACCCGAAGGGAACCCTGGGCGTCCTTCTGAGCGCGAGTGTCTGGGACGAGTTAGTGGGGCCACATCCATCCCTGGGGGGCCGAGTGCAGAGAACATGGGCTTTGGATCTAGGGCCTCCTGAATATAATCACACCCCTACCACCACCCAGCTCTGTGACCGTGGCCAGAATTAGCCACCATATACTTGTTTTCTCGTCTTGGAATAGGGCACATGCCTACTTTGGGAGGTTATAGTTAGAATCAAATGAGAGGCTATGGGACGAGCCCTGTTGCTGGTGTCATGGACTAGATGGCACCTTCTAGGATGATACAAGGTGTTTGTCTCGACAGAATAACAGGACAGGTCTGCTCACAAACCCACCTGATCTCACGGGCAAGCGAATGCATCCCTGAGGTGGTCCTGGGGGCTCTGAACACCTATACCAAGGCCACCGTCATGGTCCGGGAATTTCCCTTCTTGGAAACTTTTTTTTTTTTTTTTTTTTTGGTCAAGTGCTGTGAGAGCCCCCTGTTGGTGGTCTGTCTGACCTGTTCTGAAACCAGCCTTGAACTCCCAATTTGAGAAGTAAAGTGTCTAACCGTGGGCGGTACCACTTGGGTATACAAAGCAGTATCAGACTCTAAGGAAATGACATCTCTTTCCCCATATGGGTGGGACCCTGCAGGGGAAGACCCTCCCAAAGGTTCGGGTGCCATCCCCGCTGCCTTCCTCTGTCAGTGGAACAGGTGCATGGCTTCCCGCAGTGACTCTCTGTGTGTGTCTTCAGGGTGGGCAGGAGGAAGTTGTAAAACAATCCTCAGTAGGAGGTATAAGGTCTAATGTGTTTGTTGGCCTCTGTGTGTGTGTGCGCATGTCGGGGTGAGTAAATGAGGGGGGTGAGAGTCCTTCATACTCTTGTACACATGTGTAACCAT